GTTTGCCCTGTGCAGGATGCTTTCCTGCCTCTGCTGTAAGGATGCAGAGGAGCTGCTGCTGTCCTGGTGGGTTCCCAGTAGTGGTGATGGAAACTGCCAGTCCCCTTGTCTGGATATCACCTGTGACAGCTTTGAGCCAGCAGGGGAATTGCTCACATTTGTGTTGCTGTGACATGCCAAAGTAGAATTGAAAGTCACAGTCTCTGCTTGAAGGGATATTTTCTTAAGAAGTTGAATGTCTGTCTGGGAATTATGTTCCATGCATAAGGCTCTAAGAATTAATGAGAGCTTGGCTATGTAGATAGCAGTGCCACCCTAAAGAAAAAGAGAGAAGTCTGGCATGCCTCTGGGCAAGATTTCCATACTTGCCCTGTGCTGAGCTTCCAAGGAAAACTCCTTCCCACAGGGATGCATCCATGCAAAATTAGCACCAGCAGCCAGTGGTGGCCGCAGGAGCTGCTCTGTTCTCTCCCCATCTCTAAGGAAAACAGGAATAAGGCTTTACCTGCCCCAGCCCTCACCCCTCAGTGTGCAGGTGCTGGCATGAGGAAGCACCCAAGTTTTGGAGCAGCAAAGCTTTGCTTGCTCTTGTGGGAATAGTAGAATTTTCTAGAAAACAATTTATTTGAAAAATATGTGGAAGACAAGAGCTTTGCCTTTTCAGAGCAACACAATTCTGGGGCTTGGGGTAGTGGCTCCTGCATGCTGAGGGCTTAAGAAAGCTGTTGGATCCTGCAATAGTCAGTCATGTGGGACTTATGCTGGTGAGGAAGGCTGATGTCCCTGTCCCTCCTCCCTTCTAGCACTACTCTGCTATTGCTTTTGGCTCCAGTCTTTCCACCCATCCACCCACTGGCCTTTTATTCATCAAAAGGTGTAGAAGAATTTGCAGCAAAAATAAATGAATTTATTTTCACCCACCATCCATCCTCGTTGGCTGCGTGGGGGAGAGCTGTGCAGCTCATGACAGTGGAGGAGGGTGGGAGAGGAGGTGCAGGCACAGCCAGAGGACTGCATGGCATCCTGGGCAGGAGTGGAGACTATGTGGCGAGCGTGGTGCCACTACTGCAGGGACATCCTTGGGATGTGGTGTCAGCAGCGGTGTGTGGACTCTTAGGGCAGCCCTGTGCTGTGGGAGATGGGTAGGTGGATTAGAAGAATACCCAGTTGGGTCTTCAAAAACTGGGAACCATCCTTAAATTCAGAGCAGAAAGACAGTGCCATCTTGTGTGCTTTCAGACCCTGGGTGCCATCAGTTGAGGAACCACGTCTGACCTTGCTGTGAAGCGTGAGCAAGCTGAAATCATATTCCTTGGCATGCACATCACAGCCGTTTTGTGCCTTTTTTCATACGTGTGTGCGTCACAAGGTGTTGGTTTTTTTTATTATTATTATATGGTTTGAGTTGGAAGAGACCTTTCAGGTCTCCTTTCAGGATCATCTCGTTCCAACCCCTCTGCCATGGGCAGGGAAATCTTCCACCAGACCAGGTTGCTCAGAGCCCCATCTAACCTGGCCTTGAACACTTCCAGGGATGGGGCAGCCACAGCTTCTCTGGGCAGCCTGTCCCAGTGTCTCACCACCTTCATGGTAAAAAAAATTATTTCTTTATTGTATCTTTTGTCTGTGATGTGAGTTCCTGATGTCAAGATTGTGTGGTGAGGCAGCAAGCTGAGGAAGTGGAGAAAGCTAAGGAAGGTGGTAGTGTGTTTTCCATGGCTGCTTCTCCTCCCTTTTGCTTTTGGCAGCCCAGAAGGAGTCAGGAAGGAGTGCTTGGTGTTTGGCTGGGAACAGCTAGGACCTCTGGAAAGTGCCTCCACTGCTTCAGAGTGGTGTTTCAGAGCAGCTGTGGTTAAATGCAAGACATCCATGAAGAACAGATCCTGGAGTGAGCAGGAAGGGCTTTGGATGACCATAGTGATAGGTTGGCAGAAGGCGGAAGCAAGTGAGGGCGAAGGCAAAGAGAGAGATGCTGCCATGAGATGAGTATCTGGAAGGGCAGGGAGAGTTGTAGCTGTCAGGGTCTGTGTTTATCTTTGCAGCAGTGATTATTTTCAGATAGCATGTGAGAGAGTAAAACGTCAGCTCCCGCTAATAATAGCGCTGCAAACAAGGCTGTTGCTCGTTACTGACAGCTGAGATGAAGTTAGTTTTGTTTCATCCTAGGTATGAAAAAGTGCAAAAACAAGCTGTGCTGAGTCGATATCCTCAGCCCAGGAAAGGTCAGGAGGAGACCCTCTCCCAGCACTGGAGTGTGGCAGTGCAAGGTGGTTTTTCCAGGCTGCTTCCACACTGCTCCACAGTTAAGTGCTGCTGGAAGAGGGGATATGGTGAGGAACTGCAGCTGGCTGGCAGTGTGGAAAATGTAGAATCATAGGATAGGATGGTTTGGGCTGGAAAGGACCTTTAGAGGTCATGTAGTTGAGTCTGGGTAAAAAGCAATCTGAGGACCTTCAGTGTTCTTGCTGTGAAACTGGAGGGTTTTCCCAGAGGAGAGGGAGTCCCAGCCCAGGGTCGGCAGCATGTGCTGTGATCCCAAGACAGCTTTCAGGGGCGAGTCCCCATCCGAATGGAACGCAGCTGCCTGGAGGAGGGATCTGACATCCCCATGGGGGAAAGCTGTTCCTGGACTTGTGGCCACCTTTGGGAACTTGAGGTGTCTTTAGTAGCCTGAAGGAACTGGCTGCTGGTGATCCTTGGAGCAGACACAGACGTGAGGAGGACAGCAGGGTAGAAGTCTTGGGGACTGATGGCACTGGTATAAAGGAGAGTGAATACAGCTCTCATTGTTTGAGCAGATGCGTCCTGTCTGTGGCTAATTATAAGTGTTGTGTGCACAAAACACACTGGGACATGTGCCAGATACTATTTCTTTTCGTGTTGAACTCAAAATCATTATAATTAAGCTTTAAAATTGTAAGTAAAAGCTAACAAGGAATGCAGGTTTGCTGTCATGCTGCTTGCAACCGGGTCCAGTCCCTGCTGGGATGGACAGGAGTGGGAATATGGAGAGGGTGGTCAGAGGGGCTGGGAATGTGAAGGGTTTGGTGGCTCCGCAGTAGCGGGTATGTCCAAATTTGGGTTTTAAATATTCAGAATACCTCAAAGTACCAGAAACGTGCCATTTTACAAATGTGGGAAGTGTTGCTGAGCGAGCTTTAGCAGCCTCTCAGGTTTGGTGGGCACAGAGAAGAGGTGCTTGCTAAGAAGAGAAAATAAGGAATAAAAGTGGGAAGCAGTCGTGGAAGCAATTGTGTAACCTCGGGTTGAGAGGAACCTAGGTTGTTTCTCTGGTTTGAGGGGAAATGAGGCAGACTTGCTGAAGAAGCAGCTCCAGGAGGAGTTGCTGTGGATGGGGCTGGATGAGGGGGATGTGATGGCTGTGCCACTGTCTGCAGCCCAGTGGACACCAGCTGATGGCTGCTTCATGGCACTTCTGGGGGCTGCCCCAGGAGTGGAGCCCCAGGGAAGCATCTCACCCCTGCTCCCCAAGTGTGGGGAAATTCCTGAACCTCCTTTTTGGAACTACACTATAGGAGTGGTAGCCATGCATGTAGGGTGAGGATCACTGTGTGAGGATCACCTTATGTTCAGTGTGCTCGCCGTGTGGCCAGAGGTGTGATGGATGGGCTGGGGAGTGAGCTGGGCTCAGCCACCACGTGATGAGCACTTTAAATCCAGCAGTGAGCTCTCTACCCTGCAATTTGTATGCAGAGGGAGGGTGGCTGCCTGATTTCAGTGCTTGTAGGTGTTTGTCTGGGGTCGTGTCTGAATAAATCACGTTCTGAGATCCAAGTGAGCGCTGGGGAACAAGTCGCGCTGTCAGTGCGGCAGCAGAGCAGAGACATCTTCACTGCTCGTGATAAATGGGTCAAGATGGGCCCTGGTGTTTTAAAAATTAGCTGTTGACCTAGATAGCAGCAGCATGATGACTTGCTCACAGTGGAAACAAGAGTGAGCATCGTTGAGGCTGCACATTCCTCTGAATGTGAGGATGGGCCCAGTGCGCTGTGAACTTGGGCTGGTTCCCTGGCCCTTGTTTGTCGCCAGCTTTTCCTTGGAAGCTGAGCTGTGCCACAGGGAAGAGAGGAAGACCTGGGGCATCTCTTTCAGATTGCTTCATGGAGTCACAAGGTGCATTTTTCCTACAGCAGTTGCAAAGCTGCCTCCCACCACCACCCCATGCTTTGCTCTGCTCCAGTGACAAAGTTGTCTTACTCATGTTTCCCCTGGTTTTTCAGGAGGGGTGGTCCTTTGCCTCCCTGAGCACCCCTCCGGGCTGCGTAACTCTGGTCTTACAGAGACAGGCCGTGCATTTGGGTTGGAGCAGTTGGCAGGGTTGGTGCAGAAGATGGAGCTGCTGCTCAAGTCACATTCTCTTCTGCTTAGCAGCTGGGAAGAAGGCCATTGCCTGCACCAGGAGTTTCTCCTGTTGTGGGGTCTTCTTCCTCTGGATGAAGACATATTGCTCCAGAGCACTAAAAGTCAGTGCTTTTCATCTGGGCAAGGGACCTCTCAGTGACTTTGGCTGGCTGCTGTATTGAATAGTGGCTTTCTTGAGTGATAACTAAGCAACTGGTCAGGCCACACCTTGAGTACTGTGTCCAGTCCTGGGCCCCTCAACGTAGGAAGAATGCTGAGATGTTGGAGCATGTCCAGAGAAGGGCAACAAGGCTGGTGAAGGGTCTGGAGCGCAAGTTCTGTGAGGAGCATCTGAGGGAGCTGGGGCTGTTCAAGCTGGAGACAAGGAGGCTCATGGGAGACCTTCTCATTTTCTACAACTCCCTGACAGGAGGTTGTAGCCCCTGTGCATTTTCCTTGGGAAAACAACATTTCCTTCATGCTGTCAGGGAAAAAGGAGTGTTTGGTTCTTATTTATGGAGGTCACTAGTCCCCACATGTGATGTGGTTTTGGACCCCAGGCCCTGCTCCTGGATGTGTGTTTGGCAATGGGCACTTGTCCATTGGGGTGACTACATGTGCTGCTTTATCTTCCACAGGCTCCTGCTTCTGGGTTGCTGTCCTGGACGGCAACGTGGTGGGGATCGTGGCAGCGCGGGGCAACGAGGAAGACAACACTGTGGAGCTTCGCCGCATGTCCGTCGATTCCAACTACCGCGGCAAAGGGATCGCCAAGGCCCTGGGCCGCAAAGTGCTGGAGTTCGCCATGCTCAACAATTACTCCTCTGTCGTGCTGGGAACCACGGCCGTGAAGATGGCAGCCCACAAGCTCTATGAGTCCTTGGGCTTCAAGCACGTGGGTGTTGTCGAACACTATGCCCTGCCAGGGATGACACGCTCCTTACTGGAGAGAATGTTTTTCCAGGTCCGCTACCACCGCTACCGCCTGCAGCTGCGGGAAGAATAAAAAAAACCCCACCAACCAAAACAAAAAAAAAAAAAGTATTTTTCCCTCCTTCCTCCCCCTTCAAAAATAATAAATTATCCTTCTATTTCTCATCACCATTGATTTGCCAATTTTGGGTTAGAGTTTTTGTACCCTCACGTCACGTTTTGGTTTGCTCCGTTCAGCTCGATGGGCCGGCCGAGCAGCGCCCCTTCCTCGCATGCTGTAGGTGGTGGTGCTGGGAGTCCTGCAACCCAGCGGGGCGGAGCGGAGCAGCGGCCTCTCCTTCCCAGGTACCTCTGTAAAGCACAGAAACTTACTGCAAAATAGTACAACTGCTCCGGTGTACATAGTCCTCTCCTTTTCCAGGTGTAAGATAACATAGTGATGCATTCATAATAGTGCAGAAATATTACTTGAATGCAGTTTTCAGTATTTCACGCACCAGTAAGTAGAATATGCATTCCTCTTACCGTAATCTACTGGTTAATAGTTTTCAGAGAAAAGGTGGGGGGTACACCCTGCCCCTCTGCCCCAACCCGCTTGCTACAATGCATGAAGAGGAAAGCGCGTGCACGCACTCAAACACATCGCACTGCCACCACGGCACTGGTGTTGCACTTTTTTTGGATGTGCCTCATTCTGCCAAATGTCTGAGAGACCCCGGGTGCATCCGGTAACCACGACTCCGCTCCACCTCCCCCTCCTTCCTAAGCCAGCACAGACTCGGACCGGCTGAACTGAGCCCCACTGTACCATAGTGTGAAGTTAAGATCAAACCTAAGTATCTCCTGCGCTGTTCCGTAGCCACGCGTAACCTGCAGTCCTGGGCCAGACTCCGCATGTGCGTTGGACTTTCTCTTTGCTGCCTTTTGGGGGTTTTTTTTTGTTTGTTTTCATTTGATTTTTAAGGGTTATTTTTTTGTTGTTGTTGTTGTTATTTTTAGTTTTGGCTTTTGCTGAATGGTGTCGTTGAGGCGTAATGGAGGCTGCAGTTCCTATGGCAACACATTTGCACATTAATGTGCGCACCAAATCTCACCACTTCAGAGAAGCAACGTGTGACAGATAATAGCATTTTGGGGAGCACCAGGGTGGGGGGAGCGTACTTATTATCTTAACCAGCTGCTTGTTTGATAAATGTAGATGGCCTCACTGCAGCCTTCCATCAAAGGTAATTAACTGCTTTAATGATGTCAGATTTGTGAATTGTACAATGCAAAAAGCAATGCAAAGCAGATTCGGCATGTGTCTGTACCCGGTATGTATGTACAGTGCCTGCCAACTAAAGAATAACCAAGACTACAGCTTCTTCTAGCCTGAGATATCAACTTTTATAACTTATTTAAACAAATAGCAACTTTGCATGAATTACATCTTGGGGAAAAAGAAGACTGGTAGGTTTTAATTTTTAAAGCGTGGTGTCAGAGGTATTACAGAAAACCATTTATGGCTGCACTTAATTTTGGGTGGGTAGAGGGGTTTGGCTCTGCTAATACATTTAAAGGGAAAACCCCTTTATTTACTGGGAAAAACAATTATTATTTTATGAAGTATTATGCATGTGGTGAGGGGGGACACCCCCCACCTCATCGCGATGAAGTTGGTCAAGGGGTAGAGCATGTGTTAACCACGCTTGCAAATACAATGAAGAGTCAGCAGGAGAGCTGCAGAAGGAAGGAGCCTTAGGGTATGGGGAGAGGACAGGAGCCCTGGGCAGATGGGGGGACAGACAGCACAGACCTGGGACATGGGGTGCTGTCTGTCCCACTCCTACCAGGAGCTGCCTTTCCTCTCCAGCCAGAAGCTTTCCCAGCACTGAGATGTGGCTGGCAAAGCTGACGGAGAGCAGAGGGCTCAGCCCATCCCTGCAAGGGCCATGGCCAGGCACTGATGCTGGGGATGGAGGAGCTGTTTGGCACAGCCCCAGTTGCCCTTTCTTTGCCTGGCTTGGGCTCGGTCCAGCCTGTGAGGAGTCGGAGGGGCAGAGTCCCAGCGTGTGTTCCAGCAATAAGGGGGTAATGAGGATGGTGAAGGACACTGTAGCAAGAGACCATGAGTTTAATTAGCAAAATTTCTCTATGGGGCACTATATTTTTAAAAGTCTTTCTATGCTGTACATTTCTCCTGAAGCTGAAATAATGTACTGTTGGTAGGGGTTCTTGTATAGTGTACAGAAATCGGCAGAATATTTTCTTGCTGCATTCAGTGATTTATTAACCGAAGTAAAACAGACAAATATGAAGTGTTAGCAAAAGTTGAAAGAAAAAAACACAAAAGTTTGTGCCTTTTTTAGTTTATTTTTCTGTTGCTATATAATCACTGCACTAAAACCTTTCCAGAGGGGTAAAAAAGAAAAAAAAAAAAAAAAACAACAAAAAGCAAAAACTAGTCTCTTAATAAGGGAGGAATATGTAAAGTCTAAATTGAACATTAACTTTTTATTAGGCTGTTTAATTAAACTAATGTTGCTGGTTTTATTTGATACCTGTGCCTTTGAAATAAAACTCCACATCCTGTCAGAAAATCCAAACCTGGAATAAATCCCACCAGATCCCACACACACAGAAGTACCATCAGGTTTACCAGTATTTTCTTCTAAAATGTGTAAACTTTAACTGATGATATTACAGTATCTGATTGTAATTCCTGTTGAGTTTCCTGGGGAAGAGGTGCTTTGGGAAGGTGTGGCTTTGGGGGTGCTGTCTGCATTCCTCCCCAGCACACGGAAATGCACTGATAAGGATTGAGTTGTTGCCACTTGGCTGGTAGCTGCCAAGAAAATTTATTCCCTTAATGCTTCTGCCAGTTGCTTTGTGACCAGGCTTTTTGGAAGAAATCCAGCTGGTTGCTCCCAGCTCTCCAGCCAGGACAGCTTGTTTCTGAAGGAAAGAGCTGGCTGCCAAACAGGCTGGGATTTGCTCTCCTTGGAAGATGGCACAGGCTGCCAGAGCTGCATCCCTGGTGGAAGCAGTGGGACAGGGGTGCACAATCTCCTGTGTTGTTGCTGCTCTCCCATCCAGAGCAGCCAAGGTTGGGCTTAAAAGCACCACATGATACTGTTGTTCTGTCTGCATTCATGGGAAGTTTCCCTAAATGCCACAGCTCAGGCACGGCTCTGGGGTCAGGGGTGCTGAGTTCTGACCATGCCAGGCTCACCTGCTGCCAGGGCAGTGTGGGCAGACCACAGTGCAGCCCACAGGGTGACATGTTGAGCTTGAGCTGCCTTTGGCAGATCCATCCCTCTGCTCTGCACCTTTCAGGGTGCGCTGGTTTAAACAAAGTGCTTGGAAAAGATCAGCACAGCCCTTTCTCTGGGCCTGAGCATCATCTCCTGACTCTCCCCATCCCTGCTCAGGTGGTTGTGGGATTGGTGCTGAGCACAAGAGGTGATGGTCTGGAACTACTGCCAGTCCTTGAGTCTTGATTCCAATAGAGACCCGCATCAGTGTGAGATGGGAGGGGATTTTCCTGTTTGACTTTGGGGGTTTCTCTTTCCAAGGACAACATTGGCAGGAGTGTGAGGAAGAGTGGAGTCTTGGGTTTGAGCCCAAGGCTGGTAAATGTGGTGGTTAAGTAAGACCAGTTCAGATTTAGGTGGAGGATGTATTAGACATGTGAAGGTATTTCCCACAGCTGCTCTTACTCTGCACTGCAGGTGGGCTGCTGCCTGCAGAGATGCCCTTTCCTCACCTGGTTGCTCTCTCCTTAGACTGGGGCTTTTTTTGCTAATCCCTGTGCACAAGACGCTGCTCAAGTGTCCTTTGCTTGGAGGGGCTTGGGACAGAGCACTTGCTCCCTGAGGAAAGCACTAGATGTCATGTCCAAAAATTAAAAAAAAAAAAAAAAAAAGGAAATAAGGGAAATTTTGTGTTACTGTGGCTGAGGTCCACAGCCTTGGGGTTGCCCCAGCCCTCCAGCACAGCCTGGGCCATTCCCTGTGGAGTGAATGGGAACTCCCTCCACATCCTGAGCAAACTGGCATCTCAAGCACATGTCATATTTGGCAATAAACTCTCTGGGAAGCTTGGCCCTTAAACAGATCCAGGCTGATAATGCTAAGCAATCAAACCAATGAAGAAAGTGGTTTCTAGTCTTGACTTGAAACCCTTACATTTGTATTTGTTGTAAATTCATGCTGTGTTTTCCCTCAGTGAAGCAGACAGCACCTGCAAGATGCTTAGGAATGACAGCTGTGTCTCTGCTGGGAGATGCAGAGAAGTCCAGGGCATTGCCATCAGTGGGAAGCTGTTCTTTTCCCTCCCCTCCATCCCTGTGTGCGATGCTGTCTCTGAGAAAGCCTTTACCTTTCTCCAGAAGTCATCCTGCTTCTTGGTGCTGTGCATGGGTGCAGCCTGCAGGACTCATTTCAGAATTGCCTTTCAGCAAATGCAGGGGACAAATGACCCTGGGGACATCTGTCCCCGGGGCTGGGACCTGGGGTTGTTTTACCCCTGTGTTCCTCCCCATGGGGAATGAGGATGATTCTTCAGGTCATGATGTCAGAATTTAAGAGTCCCTGGGTAGGGGAGGCAGGACCAAGGGTCAGCAGTGGCTCTTGGGGTTGGGATGTGCTGGTGGGCTCCTGGTGCTGCACACCTGCAGCAGGAGCAGAAAGTGTTTGGTGCCAGGGGTGTCCTGGGCCCTGTCCTTGCTGTGGCCACCTGGAAGAACAGAAAGTCCTGTGGTCAGAATTCCCAGGGGAACTGTGGCTTTGCAGAACCTTGTCCCAGTCCTTGCTGCTGCTGCTGCTGCTCACTGATCCACACCCGTATGTGATGCAGGTCTGCTGCCTTTTAATTTTCCAGATTTGCTGGCTGAGGTGCAGATGGATAGAAACTGCAGGGACTTCCAAATTGCCAAATTGACAAAGGCAGGAACCAGCTCTGGTTACCTCTGAATTAACAATCTCACTTTGGGTGTGCTGGGGCCTGTGTTTCATTAGTGCTGGTGTGATGCTCTTGGTATGCACTCTACTTAAAGCTTAATAAAGGCATTTTAATTGGACACTAACTGGAGTCTTGCGGTGGAATATACTGTACCACATAAAGAAAATGAAGTAATGCTAAGTGTTAAGTAAGCTTTAAAATGCAAAAGGAAAAATTTCTTTTTTTT